TTTGATACTGATTTGTGATACACGCTGTGTGACTGTACGTGGCGTGCGCTTGACGAAGCATAGAAGTGCACACCCTACCAAAACGTGACGAGGCGTCGGGTAGCGTCGAATAGTGTTGCATAGGGTAAGTGTGTTCCCCGCTAAAAGCCTAAATGGGAAGTTACAATCTTTAAAGGAATGCAAGGGTAAGAGCTTAAAGAAAAATTAAATAGAAATGGAATATGTACGAGCCTAGTATCTTCTTTGTTTATTGAATTTCTCAATAAATACTGACATACAAGTATATTACAGATACATTTCTTCATTTTGCCTTTATTATTTTTTATCACTCTATTTTATAGTATAGAAAAATCCTGATTTTGATTTTTTTAAATCATAACAGTAAATGCTTTACTCGTTCTCCTGTCATTTATCTACTATTTAATAACGATTAGAACGGTATTTGAAATTTGAATAATAAATTTGAGGAATCTCGTCTAAGCCAGAGTTCAACCAATTTTCCCACCTCACCGACCGAGCACAACGCCCTTCATTGTTATCGCTGTCTTGTGACTCCATTCCTATTCAGTTATGCAGGACGCTTTATCTAGATAGGTTCAACTAGTTTTGGTCGCTGGGGGAACAGTGTTTGATAGAATCAATCGTCAGGAAACAGTTTATACGGAAGGATTTTCTTCTAATCCTAGCAAACTGCAAGTACGATCTTTTGTAGGGCAAAAGTGTCGTTGTTTCTTTAATATTTCCTGGCTTTATAATAATAAGTAATACACAGGCTAAAATAACAGAAAATACATTAATATACGTAAAAAATTCATTTCATAAAATAAAATCAACGTTTTCAAACTTACTAAGCCCAAATACGCGCCAATAATTTGACTTCGATCTTGGATTACTTCTACAACATAGAAAAAATATGTTTTTTTATACATTTACATCTAGTTTACAATATTAATCGAAACAGAACGAGAACGTGTTGGTATTATCGTTGAAAAAAGGGTTTTAGCAGATCAATTCATACCCTCCGAGCCCGTGTAAATCTTTATGTTTGTGTTTCATTATAACAACCGTCTCAATATTATTAGAGAGGCAAATTTTCTTCGTAAGTGAAGGCAATATGTAAACAGGGTCCGTAAAAAGTTATAAAAAAGGTATGGTGGTAAGCGCGACTTATTGCTGACTTTCAACGCTTCCTGGACGACTGAAAAAGTTTCCTACTAAAAATATTAAATGAATCCGTAATAAGCACACTAAGTGGGAAATTCTTTTAATCTTCCTCTTACTTTCTCCAATGAATTCCAATTATTGATTTTTTGAAACAACATACTGAATATAACTTGTTTAACGTCCATAAAAATATTTTTTAAATATAAAGAAATTAAGATAAACATACACTAATATTATTTATGTCTTTACATTCTCATTTCTATTTTTATATATTTTCGGGAGCATCAGCATTTGCCCAACGACTGCTTTGCCATCGTCCCTCTTCTTCCACTATAATCATTTTGCATGAATTACAGAGTGCCCAATCTGGTTATATTTTTTTTTTAAATACGGCTAACAAACAATATCTTCCCTTTTTAAAATAGAAGCACATCTATTTTATTAAAACAAGTTCAAGAGAAAGAAGGATGTAATGTTATCTTTATTTATTAAGCTATTAATATTATAGAAACATTTATCTTACTTTAAGCATACTCTAGTTTATTAAATTGTTTATTTGTATGATGCATAATAAATTTTATTTAAGGAGAAAGAATAATTTGTGTTCAAATTGGGAAAAATTACGTGAAACAATTGCATAAATTACAGCGATGATCTTTTTTCAAATGGCTCGTATAAAAAATACCTCATAGACAAATTGAACTATTACTTTTAATATATCTGGAGATCATCTTCAGTGGGACATTTTTGAAAGTCCTCTCTTCGTACTGTGCCGCTTAGGCTTTTCAGAAGAAGGTCGAGTTACTTTACATTAAATTCTTTGCATTAAATACTGAATAATTCATAGAATAAATTGAGAAGCCGATTTTTGAGTCAAAATACGAATAGCATATAGCAATAATTAGAATTTTTTTTGTTAAGGGGTGATAAAATCCAGTAAACTAGAAGAATTGGCGTCAGGCTATTAGCTGTTAAAATTAAAACTATAATCCATTATAGATAAATAGATATTCTAAAGACAAAATATTCTAGATTGATTTTAGATTCTAGTCTTAAAGACTTCCAAATATACATTAAAAAATTAGACACAAAAACATTAATTAATATAAACTAATCAGCAAATCATACGATATCTGTTAATAAACCAAGGGTGAAAAATTTGAGAGAATTGGCATGTCAATTTTAATTAAAAATCAATTTCTTTAAAAAAAAATCTGAAAAATGACGTAATGAACTAAGAAAATTACAATAAGCCACAAAACAGCAGTGCTTGGGGAATAACTACCAAACCCCCGCTTCGTAGTATCATCATCATCAAGGCACTCGGACAAATTAAAAATAACCTACCGACAAACAAACATATCACCGACCCAATGAAAAACGACCCCAAAAAATTCTCACAGACTCACTGAAGATGGCGAAATGCGGAAAAGTGTCTGACAAAGCCAACACAGCGAGAAAAAGCAGTCTTGGGGTGATAAAATCCTGTGAAAAGGTAAAAGCGAACGAACTGCAAGATAAAATGGACAATTTATTTGACAACACAGGGGAAAAAATCAAATTTTTTGAAAATATAGAATAGTGAAATATAACTAATCAAAAAATACACTCCTTGTGAATTAAAGATTGTTCTAGTAGCAAAATAAATTAAAAGTAACTTCTGGATTTTTCTTTTGCCAGAAATCGAAAGTCTTAACCGGTTATTTCTATTTTTCTACGTTGAGGAAAGTGTTTCTTTTATTTAAGATTTACAGCCTAAGTTTCTTTCTTGCACGTTTTTCCTGTCTTACATATAAATACCTGGCGTGAAACAACACCATTTTGTGAAAAAAGGAAATAACTCAAAAGGATCGATGAGGTTGGTTCTATTGTCGGGGGTGGCAACTTCGCAAGCCCCATTGTACGCACTTTAACGGCGTTTACGCTGCCACGGCTTTATAGATACCCTGACCTTTTGTGCCCCGAGCAGATATTGGCGGTTTTTCTGTTTTGATCCTGGCCGGTTTGACATTGATTCATTTCGCTCGGGAGAATTTCGCTCTATCTCTTGAACCCACTGAGCTGAGACGTGTTCTATATATGTTAATATCCGCCATAGAAGGTTTAAAAAAACTCGGATAAGAAAAAATTAATTACATACTACGTCCTAACAACCTGACAAAAGCCAAATTTTACACATACAGTTGCTCTACTCTCTACAGACAGTTAAATTATTAAATTTTTGTCATTTGTTTCTTAACCAATCTCAAGCTTTGATCAGTAAATAACAATCAATAAAATGATCATATCCCTCCATCAAGAGATAGAAGTGGATGGAAAGCTTCCTTTTCTAGCCTTGCTTGTTATTATAGAAAGCAAAGAATTGTTAATCAATTGATATATGAAACCAACCAGTTCTGATAGGGTGTTATTCATCTGCTCATTCATCTAAAATTATAGATAGGGCAGTAAAACTTAGTGGTAATTGTTGTTGTTTGTTTAAGGTTAATGTTAATGGATAATGGATATCCAAAGTAGTTAATAAACAGGTTAATTAACAGCAGAATGAGTGTAACTACAAGGAAATCTCGCATATCTTTGAGAAAAATCCTACCACGAAATTCACAATATTTTATAACCCATTTATGTTTTAGTAGTCAATTGACTAAGTTACTTCTTTCAATTAATTATTCTTTTTTTGTAAGTCTTGGTTGAGATAAAAAAGTTAGTGTCACGAGCGGGATTCGAACCCACGATCTTCGGCTAAATACGCCGCTGCTCTACCACTTGAGCTATCGTGACTTCGATCCTCTCGAACACCAACTCCCCATCTCAACGTACAACCTTTCGAATTTTGCCTCTTTTTTCTCATTTTTCAATTCGAAAGGTTGTAGTTTAAGATGGGGAGTTGGTGTCCGAGTGGATCGAGGTCACTGTAGATCAAGTGGTAGAGCAGCGGCGTATTTAGCCGAAGGTCGTGGGTTCGAATCCCGCTCGTGGCAGTAACTTTTTTATCTCAATCAAGACTTTTTATAACGTTAAAGCAAAGCGGTTTAAAATAAATTGAATAGCTGGGATTTTTTAACTATTTAGACGTGTCCGATAGAACCGTCTAAATTGAAATGTAGGATTACGTTTATTAGGGTACCAAATCTCTCAATCCCCATTGTCATTTATACCGAACATTTTAGAGACGTGGGAGGCCGAATGCTTCTCTAAGCAGGCTTTGCTGAAAATGATAATATTGTATTTTCCCATGTGTCACGTACGGAACCCTTGTTTATTCTAATTAACCTCGCCCATTTAGAAAGTTTGAGCTTGATCTAATACTAATTTAACTTTTTCTGACTAATAAATATGAGCTAAGATAGTTAAGGATTCCTTAAAAATAGCATGAACTTTTTATGATTCAGTTTATTAGCAGATGTTTTGTCGCATTGAAAATTGTGACTTATTCAAGATCGGATTGAATAAATTTTAGTTGTTTACAATTGAACCCTTGCAAGTACATATTCAATAGTGTTGGGTTTGTCTGCATCTTCCTTCTAGGTACGAGTACCGAGGCAAAAATAAGACCGTAAAAGAAGAATATTATAAAATAGTCATGACATCTCTCCATAAAACCAGATGTTGGTTAATCCCCCGATGGTCTCTCCTTTCATGCCATTACTCGGCTAATATACGTTCCTTAATTATTCAAAGCATTACATTTTCTTCTTCGGAATCGTACCATGTTATAGGTTTATACCTTCGCTTTGGCCAGTTTGTCCAGATGAAACGAAAACCTCGGATCGTTAGAGATAACCCTGGTTTATTAATGTCTCCTTAATTGTTAATATTTTGATTTTTATTTACAGCTGAGACAGCAGGTGAACAACATATATCAAGCGGGATATTTTATTTCTCTGCTCGCTCTTCTCCTGTCTCTGTTCATACTTTCGTACTTCAAGTAAGCCACGAATCATACTTTTATTTCAAATGAAAATATATGCTTACATTGTCTATTTTTTCTTGTTTTTTAGATCGTTGAGATGCCCGAGGAATACTCTCCACATGAACCTGTTCACGAGCTTCGCCTTCAACAATTTCCTTTGGCTGCTCTGGTACAGACTGGTCATACCCAACACAGACGTTATTGTGAAAAACCGGGTAAGTGGACTTTAAAGGGGCCGCTCTTTTGAAATGAGGGCCACTTGTTGCTTCGCATCATCCGGTAAAACTGTTTTCTCCCAAACAATTACAGCCTTTCGTGAAAATAACGCAAATGCCCCAAGGTCATAAAAATTTCGTTGATTTTTTCCGCGTTTTCTTTGTAGACAGAAACCTGTTTTGTAAGTTATAAACGGGGTAATAAGCGGGTAATCGATTCGACGGCAGCTGCTACTTTCTACGAACACGGTGAGACGCTAACTTGTAATTTACAACGTAATTTACAATCTCCGTATTTCACAGAGATGGTAGCATGGCAGAAACCTCTGATAGAGATACATTAGTTTCATATAAAGAGTTAGTATCGCTTTAAAAGTGAACTGGCCATATTTCGTACAGATCTCTCCTCAAATAAAAAATACGACTCTATCATTGATAGTGCGATAACTCCAAAAACCTTATCTCCTTGTAATTTATCTTGTTGAATCCGTTCTGAGTTCCATTCTATTCATATATAACTTGAAAAACCTATAAAAAAAAAAATAAAATAGTGTTTTTTTTCTCAATTGACTGAAGAACAATGAATTTTATTGCTAACAAACTGCGTTTTTCATACATCTTATGATAGGATTAGTCGATTAACAAAGTCGTTTTTCTATTTTGAACGTAGAAAAATTATGATTAGATTGAAGAACTATGTTTGGATGCGTGAAGAGAGTGTAATTCTATTCTTTAACGTATTTTCTGGGCTAATGTGGCAAACATGGCGACATAAAAAATAAAAAACAAATATATCTTTCCCCAATTTGCTATTATGTAAAAGTATGAAAAAAGGCAATGCAAGTAAACCCAGGAAATTACATTTACTTCCATAACCAAATTTAGGTTTTATAATCATTTTTATTTATAACTGTAATTTTCTGAGGAATGCTTACACGCAATATAATGTAACTTTGAAACGATTATTTATCAAATCTCTCTCTCTCTCTCTCTCTCTCTCTCTCTCTCTCTCTCTCTCTCTCTCTCTCTCTCATTCTTTCTCTCTTTCTCTCTTTCTTTCGTGTTCTCTTTCATTCTTATAAAAAATGTTTATAAATCACAGCCCTGAAGATGATCTCAATTAAGATCAAAATTATTCAGAAATCGTGAGATGCGGTCTGGTCTCACGATTTCTGAATAATTATCGATTAACGGTCACTAATCACCACACAAAGATCAAAATGTTGGCACGATAAAGAAAATGTTTTTCTGAAACCTACGTCACATCAGACCGCATCTCACGATCTCCAAATAATCAATTATTCCTATAGAAGAATTTTCAAATAAAATGCTCTGCCTATATTCAACTCGGAATTATCGGTGAATCTATTCTTAACACAAACATTTTTTTTATCTGTCATCTTTGCACTTCTCTTCCTTTCTCTACCACTATTCCCACTCTCTCACATACACTCTTTCTCTTCACTTCTCTCTCTCTCTCTCTCTCTCTCTCTCTCTCTCTCTCTCTCTCTCNGGGATTCGAACCCACGATCTTCGGCTAGATACGCCGCTGCTCTACCACTTGAGCTATCGTGACCTCGATCCACTCGGACATCAACTTCCCATCTCAACCCGGACCACAAAATTAGTGAATTTAATGAATTAAAATGAAGTATACCTCACTAAAGCTCTCCATGGCCATTTCATTTGTCGCCGAGAATCCAATCCGATTACACAACATTTGAAAAATGGCAAAAAGGAGGGAAAACTCAAAAGGTGAGGTTGAGATGGGAAGTTGATGTCCGAGTGGATCGAGGTCACGATAGCTCAAGTGGTAGATCAGCGGCGTATCTAGCCGAAGATCGTGGGTTCGAATCCCGCTCGTGCCATTGACTTTTTTATGTCAACTAAAAAACCTTAATTAATTGTTATGTATTAATTGGTCAAGCGGACCACGAAATTAGTGAATCTATCTCTAACTTTTTCTCTTTTTCTCCTATTCGGGCTCATTCTTAGAATAGAATTTTCGTATAAAGTATTCTGTATATTTTTGAATCTGAATCATTGTTGGATCTTTACCTTTTTATCTTTCTAGGCCTCCTCTGCTCTTCTATATCTTCTTCTCTCTTTTTCCTCGTATCCTTATCCATAAAACATTCTTTCCCTCTCTCACTCTCTCTCACTCACTTTTTATCTTCTCTCACTCTTCTCTCTTTGTTTCTCTCCTTCTATCTATCTGTTAAAATATCTCTATCTTTATCATCTTAATCAATCATATATATCTATCGATCTTGTTTTTTACTAGAAGTAATCTGGTTATCTGTAATCGAATATTACGATAAATTAAATACTCTTTTCCATGAGAGGTTGTTAAACTTAAAACAAAATTAAGGACAATTTATATCGTTTTCCCCACTTTTTTTTTCAAATCCTCTGTGATCCTTGCTTGAAAATATATTAGATTTATTTAATACAACAAACATAAATGGATCCGGGTTCTTTGTAAATTTTTCATCTGTACCCTCTACTTTCTTTTAAAGAAAGAACTCGTTAAACTTTACGACTAAGTTCTCAAACAAGGGCGCACGAAAAAAATATATTACAGAGATGCTTGGAAAAAGGACAAGGTCTGGTTGTGTCGCTTTTTCTGGTGATTAGGGCAAGGATTAAACCGTTAAAGATTAAAGTGGTTCTGTCCAATTAATAATAATATATTGGTAAATAACGAAGTTTCTACTGATTTTACCATAATTAACAATTAACGTTTTTTTCATTATAATTAAAATTACTTTGAAACAAAGTCAATTTCAATTGTTTGATAAGAAAGAAGGTTTATTAAAGCATAAATTTCGTCTATCCTTAACTGAAAGATGAAACTAAAAAGAAAGAAAAATAGTAAAGAGATAGACAGATAGATAGATAGAGAGAGAGAGAGCGAGATAGTGAGAGAGAATCGTAATAATCTCCAATACGGCGTTTCGAAAGTTAAGCCCGCATGACGGATGTGGAATGTAGGATTTTAATACATTCAAGCGCCTTGCTAAGAATAAAATTGGAATAAGGATTTTCTTCTTTATTTATACGATTTCTTCTTTCATAACGCTTTCTATCCACGCGAAAAAAAAAAGTTGAAGCTTTTTCTGTTTTCCACCAGTCCTAAAACATATTCTATTTTAAAATCACTTGGAAGTTTTCTTTAATTATCGACGATTCGATCACGAGCTCTCAAATTACGCTTTGAACACGGCCCATTTCTAAAAGTAGAAGTCGAATTAATACGAGCAATATCTCAAGTTTCGATTGGGAGAAGGATCTTTCGGAAAGTGGAAAAGGTGGCCCTCCGCTGCATTAGCACAAATGGAAAGACCTGATGCGATTACAGATATGCCTCCACACCCCCGCGTTATTCCCTTTTTGTTCGCCGATCGGAATTGATGGATTGATGAATTGAGACTGAGATCTTTCTGATCGATCACGTCATCAAGTAAAATGAAAAAAATTAATACCGGTTTTTTTAGCGCAAAAATTGGAAATATGTATTTTGTACCTAACTTACAAAATGTTTCAACTTCGAAAGTCTTTTCTAGTTGTTATTATTTATGTCTATCAGCCTGATAGAGTTATTTCTTAGAAATATACAGGAGCTTCAAATATGCCAAATACGACAGACTTACGAGCTTCATTCCAAAGTAACTTCTCGAGAGGACTGGAAATATTGGGAGTTTCGAGCGCAAGTGTTTTTCAAGTAGCGAAACTTTTGGGTACATAAGTTCTCTCGCTCCTCGTGTACCATTTACCGTAAGAGTTATAAATTGAAAAAAAAACACACGAATATTTTTGCCTTAATAATTCTCAAGATAACACTCGATTAATTATTTTTTAAATATTGTGGGGGCCGCAACGGTTTAAGCGTTTACACGGCGTTCATCACTGTAAGGTAAAGGACCCGGGTTCGAATCCAGCGGCCCTGCATTTGAACCCGACGTACTTACAAATGGGCTTCTTTTTTTTTTTTTTTTAAACATTTTTTTAAATAAATTTTTCTTCCGATTTTTTTTTTTTTTTTTTTTTTTTTCAAAAACACCGGCACCTTGAGGATTGGTATGGTCTCTGTTGTTGCGAACTCTCGTAAAAAAACAAATAGTGAAATGGATGAATATAAGTAGTAAGCCATTTATATCTAGTAGTCTAATTGACCTAATTAATTATTTAAATTAATTATAATTTTTATGTAAGGTTTTGGTTGAGATCAAAAAGCCAGTGTCACGAGCGGGATAGCTCAAGTGGTTAGTGCAACGGCGAATTGACCCGAAGGTCATGGGTTCGAATCCCGCTCGTGACACTGGCTTTTTCATACATAAAAAAATAATCGATTGAAACAAGTAATAAGTCAGACTAATAAGGTTTCCAACTCGAAAAATTATAATAAAAAATCTCCGTTAAAGGATAGAATGTAATCAGTACTCGTAGCATTATTTCGTACGTAAGGAAATAAAACTCACATGTCCATAAATAATAAATATTTTTCAAAACAATCAAACACATAAATTTTTGATGAACAGAATACATTTTAACACTGTTACTAAAGTAGGTTTGGAAAAATTTGGACAATTTTAATTTTTAATCATTTTTTCTTTAGTCCGTTTTGTTCAAAACAATAGGGATCAAATTATGTTTCAAGTGTGAATTGAGGTGGCAAATTTCATCTTGCCGACGAGGCAGTTGAAAAGCTCCATTTTAGTTTCTTCGTTTCAAAACTTGGAAGAAAGGGATTAACCCTTTTGTGATTAGGAATATTGTCTTATTTCTTGACATTGAAATCCCAAACATGACTATTTTAATCTTAATTTGAAATAAGCGTTAATTAAATGATAAATATTCAAAGAGTCAGTCGCGGCAGCCGCCTGGCATCGTTTGGGATTTCTTTTTGTGAAAGACGGCTGAGATCCTTCTTATAATAAAATAAACGCCGGCTTTTACAAGGTTTGTAAGTCTTTTCTGACAACGGGCGGAGAAAGTTCGCCTTTAAAACTTGACAGATTATCACGGAGGTTTGCCCGTTATATTAATGGAAGGGAAGCCAATTAAGATATCGCCTGGGGAAAATTAAATATAATCAGGTAATTCTTCGTAATACAAATTGAAATAACTGTCAAACGTATATCATTGTATTAGGGGTAATAATTAGTAGATTATTAACAAAACTTTTTTTGGTTCTAGTCAAAAAATATTACGAACAGTCTGGATCAAGTATGATCTTGAAAAAGAAAGCAAATTCAGTATTTACTGCTAAGCTTTAGACCTATTTTAAGGTCATTAGGTAAAACAATCTTAAATATGTAAATAAATTGACATATTTAAGTTCTTAAAATAAATATGTCAATTTGTAGACGTATTTAAGTTTTTGACTGACTAGTCCCAACATTGCAAAGGACTGTAACAGTCAGTCACTGGAGAATGCTCCCTTGGGAGACGCCGGCTTGAATTTGTCAGATTTCCGAAAACTCGTTGCCCCAACTTAATCTTTTTTTCCAAAAAAGTTGTATTTGGAGATATTTCAAGGGTGAAAACAATGAATATCAACTTGGTTTCATGCTAAAAAAAAATATTTTCCAAAGACACGAAAAGAATCGAACTGCGTGCAAGCATTTCGTATTTATTGATATGCATCATTATTTTGTGACCGACCGACTTAGCAAAGTTGGTTAAAATTATTGTTTTAGCAAGAAACAAAGTTTATATTCGTTTTCATACCTACAAAAAACCTGAATACAAATTTTGAGAAAATAAAAAAAATTCAAAATTTTTGCCTTCCAGATTTGTTCTTGAAAATTACAGTATCGATAATATGGAAATGTTCCACCTTTTTTTAGATTATAACCCTGTAGCATATAGGTAATGGCAGAAACTTGGCCTCCGTATATAAATCAGAACCGGAAATATACAATAAAATGTCTGAAGGTTTTGTTGATGCCATCTTATAATGACATAAAACCCAAATATGCTGATATTGGCTCAATTTTTCGGCAACTTACATCGGTCTTACATCCCAATATCTGGACAAGAGAGTAAAGCAACATACGTATGATTGCAAAAAACCTAAGCAAATTCATACAGCACTCGCTACCCACCATCTTGAACACAAACACAATTTCGACTTCAAAAATCCAAAAGTATTACACACAGAACAAAACAAACATAAACGTAATTTTTTAGAAATGGTTTACATCAACAGAGATATACACATCATCAATTACAGAACAGATACATGTAAACTCAGTCGCAGCTACGCCATATCATTAATCAAATTCAATATAGATAACATACATACATCAACACATTCCACACATCAAACATTTTTCACATAGTCTAATTGTCCAACAATTTAGCTTTCCTTTTCCTATTTATCCCTTTCTATATAATCCTGAAAGGATAATCTGGCCAAACAACACATTTTTTCCCTTCGTCGGCTCTTTTCACCTCAAAGAAGCCGACGCCTTATACAAAACTCTCTTTTCTATACCGACTTTCTTCTCCACCCCTTCAAAATCCAACGTATGTAAACATAAAACAGCAATATCGCACTGGCACTCTCAACACGACACGCAAGAATGGCACAATTACACAGAAGACAAACACTTTGAGTGAGTAGAAATACTTTGATTGAATATAAAAAATATATTTTTCATTGTATAAATTCACTTTTTTCACATCCTACATGTATTTGTTAAATGTAAACAATGTTTGTAAATCCCAGGCCCTGAAGATGATCTCAATAAAGATCGAAACGTTGACAGGATAAATAAAATGTTTTTCTGAAACCTACATCACACCAGACCGCATCTCACAATTTCTGAATAATTATCGATTAACGGTCACTAACCACCACTCATTTTTTTTGCCTACTTTATTAAAGTGTCTTCTGGTTTTTGAGACTTTTTATATATTCAATCTCATGAGATACGATCCTGCATGTCATTTCCTATCTTGGGTTTTTTAAAAATCGACTGATTAGATTTTGTATATAAAATTTCATATTACATTTATAGTATCAGATTTCATTTTATACTTGCCTTGAAATACAAGCAGAACACTGCAGAAAATCAAATTTTAAAATAATTCAAATATACCTAAAATACTTTCGAACTGAAATAGACACGACAAGCCAAAACTGATGGACGATAGACAGACCAAAATGACCCAAAACCTCCTCCCGTGTAACTGCCAGAGCTGTTTTCTGCTTGATACTGCATTATTTGGCAAATCAGTTGGCAAACCATAGTTAAATTTTATAAAATAATCTTCTGTCGACAGGTATGGTGTCAGTGTTTACACGTGGTACTTCACTACTTCTTGGCGTGCTCTTATGCTTGGATGCTAGCAGAGGGCGTCTACTTGCACACGCTGCTGGTCTCGGCGTTCACAAGCGAACAGAAACTCGTGAAAATCCTCACGGCCTGCTCTTGGCTGGTGCCCTTCTTCTTCACTGCCCTCTACACAACTCTGAGGCTCGCCTCCGGTGACACGCAACAGTACGTAAACTTTGAGACTTTTCTGTACCAAGCACACTCATAAACAGAAGAATTGGAGGGCCGAATTCTAGAGATACCAAACTGGCTAAATGTTAAATTAAATGTTCAACAAACCACTGATAACTTAATAACTTTATATCGTTTTTGTTTATTCTCATACCGTTTTCATGCCTCAAAAGTCTTGTGTCCTTAGGCGATAATAGTTTCTAAATAATACATAAAGGCAAAATTTCAACATGAGTAGTTACAGGTACAAGTATGAGTGCATGAGTACTCAATACAAAGTACTGTATACTGCTCTGCTAATTATACCTTCTACTTTTCTTAAGTACATGCATTATGGTATTTGATTGGATATTAACAATAGCAGATAAACAAAAAAAATATGTGAAGAAATGTTAGAAACTCTTAATTGTGTATTATCCACTTCCTGCAGGTGTTGGATCGACGAATCGGACTCAAAGATGGTGTTGTTCGTCCTGGTGGCGACGTCGATGCTACTCAACTTCCTGTTCTTGTGCAACATCGTGCGTGTAGTCGTGACCAAACTGCGTGCGGGGCCGAACCAGTCTGCGAGGCCATCGACAGCTCTGCTGCAGGCGTTGCGTGCTACGCTCCTCCTGCTCCCACTTCTTGGCCTTAACTATCTCCTCACCCCATTCCGTCCTCCGGACAAACACCCGTGGGAGACGTACTACGAAGTCGTTTCAGCCCTCACGGCTTCTTTTCAGGTTTCTGCATTTTTTAATGAACAACTTTAACAGCCAGCCAAAGTACGCGGATACCCACATTTATAATGAGCGGGGGAAATTGATTACAAAACTATATAAATGACAACTGGAAAACTCTAAAGACAGCTATTTCATGAAAAACAGTATAACGTTAATTATGCTTCATGAACCATATTAATTTTGATCAAGCGTTCAATGTCAAAACAGAAAGATGCAACAAGAAGTGCCAGAATGATATTGTATTCAGCTATCATTTCTTGTAAAGATTCTTTCTTTAATTAACTTCTTGCATAATTATTTGGCTTGTTGAAATTCAAGATAAAAAATAGAGAAACAGATAAACATTTAAACATTAGCTTCAAGGCTGGCCAAAGGAGTGTTAAAATAATTATTATAATCAAGTTATTGCAACAAATAAATTATTTGCAATAAATCTGAACTTCAGATATTTTTGTCTTTAACAAAAAAAACCACGAAAATATGCAGTTTTTAATATAATGATCTTAATGCTACAATATCTAACCTAATAAATTATTTAATTTATAAGATATATTAAACGATAAATATTGTACAAGATGACATGTCTACAATTCAATAATCTCAACCAACAAAAATTGGATAGGGAAAAGACTTCTCTGAAGGAACGAAATACCCAAAACAAAGTTCTACTTTCCAAAAGTCCTTTTAAGTTCAATCTGATAAAAACTCAATTTCGCTTCTGGTCCACTTCCATATTCACTTACTTTTCACACTTGCTAAATCTTATTTTCTACTATTTCTCAACTCACATTAAAAACCTGAAAACTTTCAAAGTGGCACACAAAAATATATCATTTGATAAATTATTTGGTTTAAGTACTCTATATTGCGGTATTGTCACCACATTTTAGTGTATTATATTTTCTAGGATACTAGTTTTTATGATATTTTATTATTTTCTATTTTCAAATTAGCCAGAGAACGGTACTCATTCTGGTTAATTATTGTGGGGGAAGGGGAGGGTGATAGAAAATTCCAGGGGTGACTGGGAATCAAGCCCATGGTTTCTCCCTCTACCATGGGGACCTCTCCTGTCTCCTTTTATTTATTTAACTTCCTTGATCATATTAAATGTTAATTCCATTATGTTTAGTGATCTGATTAATTGTTAATATTGATACACTTTTTCTTTAGGGTTTGTGTGTTGCAACACTATTCTGCTTTTGCAATGGAGAGGTATTGTTGAAAAATCGTTAAATAACTCTATTTACAATCGTTAAATGAGATATTTCTCCATAAAAGTAATTACTTTTACAGGTTATTGCCCAAATGAAGAGAAAATGGCAGTACTCGGTATTCAGAACAAGAGCGAATTCTTACACTGCCACAACTGTTTCGGTAAGCTCATATCCAGCTTGCTTACTCGTTCTTAGATATTTAATAAAATCATTTCTTACATCTCGTGTAATCATTATTACATTTTTTCTAGAAAAGTGTTTATTTACAGTTTGTAAGGTCTACAGCAGCACCTGCTGCAGAAGAAGAAATTGTTTAGATTGCCCAGTTTAACTCAAGAATGAACCTCTTTTGTCTTGGTTAAGGAAAATACAGTTTAGTAGCAATGTTCAATGTGTATGACAAACTTAAGTACAATAAACCAGAGTTACCTTTATAAATTGAAATATAATTCTAGTCAAAATGATGTGTAAGAATGTTAGATGTCTACTCTTAGCTTTATTTGTAACCAAGTATGTAAAATGTGTAAATGATGCTGTTCTGAAGTCGTGATTCTGTGTATTCAAGTAAATCAAAATTGCTTTGTAAAATGTGAAAATACAATAGACTTTTATTTTGTACATATAGTTCCATTTTTCCAAATTTCCATAATAAAGTATTTATCTTCTTTATTTTCAGAATAAATAAATTTGTTACTTGTAACACTTAAAAACTAAATTATCCTTACAAAATGTCAAGGGTTCAAAGAACAAAGGCTGAATCACATAATTCATTTATTTACTTTAATATTTACAAAATGATAATTAGATTTGTCTTAGAAATATCATAAGTAAAATATACATTTCATCAAGTTGAGAGTCTTAAGATACATAAGGAAATTTTCAATAAATTGCTAAGTTTGTTTTCACAGCCTTTTTACTCCCGAGCACTCCTTTAGATTAATTTTTCCACCGCTTTTGATAACGCACCGATTGTTATCAAACAATTATGCAATAGCTATATACAATATTCAAATATATATAATTTGAGCTTTGATTATTTCATGGTTTATATACAAAATTTTGACTAAAATTAGAGAAAAAAAAGTGAGAGTAATATCCATGCCTTTTCAAGCTAAAACATACCAAGTGCAATTTAAAATTTCAACGTATAAAAAGACTGACAACATGATCAAAATAAAGTACTAACTCCTTTATAAATATATACATTATAACATTTCATTTAAAAATAGACATTCAATATAATATTTTTTTAATAAGTTGTAAATAAAACATAATATATTAAGTACAGATATTCCTTCTAAAATACAATGATTTGGAATGAATTTTATCACAAAGTTAAATTATTTCATAATACTTGTATATAATTTAAAAACTGGATTATTTGAAATGAACCCCCCCTTAAATGATTCTAAATTGAATAAAAAGTATAATCGTTAAAATTACACACAAAAAATTTTAACATTTACTCAATAAATGGCAGCACTTTTAAAATATATTTAAAATTGCAAAATATATATAAAATATTTTAATTATTGTAACTGTACACTTTACAATGTTTTCTTAAAAAAGACAACTTTTCAGTTTCCTTAGTCTTTTCAATTTTAATTTAAAAAACAGGCGGCTGAAGGACTTCACCTTGCAGGACCTTGCTACAGGTAACTGTCAGACTTTGGGCTGGGTCTCTCTTATCGTAACGTGTGTGACAAATGGGCCGCCCTGCTTCCCGTATGGCCTTCCACCGTATGGCGGATAGCCCTGGGAGTAGTTTATTTGGCTGTACCTGTGATGAACTGGGTATCCGTTTGTGTATGCTGAAAGATAAACAATTAAGGCACTATATTTTTTAAAAATCAATCAACAATAGTTATAACACAATTATGGATTGCCGAGACTTGAACAAATATCTCTGGACTAAAATTCATATTTTAAATTTAACAAAAAAATCTTACCCAATTAGCCCAAAGCCAAATTAGATAATCTTAAATTTTTTGGTACTCACTTTGCTGTGGTACATCTGATCGCCTTGGCAAAGAACCAGAGTCGATCAACGCCTGCGCTCGTAGAACAGCCTGTACACTCTCATACTCATAAAAGTTGGACACAGGCCGATGGACTGGCTCCCGACTGACTTGACGTTGTGAGTGGTAATGCTGTTGCCTCCGACTGTTACAAAAATCACATTAGGATGTGGGGAAAATTCCGATTGAAAAAAAAAAAGCTCTAAACTAAACTTACATTTGATTTAACCCTACAAATTTACACCAAAAAATCAAGTGGCAATAATAAAAAAAGCTCTTAATTACAGAACCAAGAAAGCTTCGATAAAAGAATAAGCGGAAATCAATGAGAATACCAACAAAATTCAAGGCAAAGTAACATTGATTTTTTTCTTTTTTTTAGTATAAAGAAATTCAAATTCAATTTCAAAATTGTTCCTTAAAAATTGATCTCTACAATAAAAATAATAACTATAACCATTTTTATTTACAATATACTTTAAGTAGGAAAATATCGCGATATAAGCATTTTTCTTCCAAATGAAATGCCAGCTTACTTTTCTGGGCGAAATCAGCATATTTTACACACAATCCCGCTCAAACGAAACAAGCTGCTCATAAGTTTATACAGTTTGGCTAAAACAACCTCATTTATTTATGAAATAATACTGTAACAGGAATAATTTCCAAAATACAAAGCGCAGACAACACAATTTGCAGAAAACCATTCCAAAAAGCGCAAGAAAAGATCCAAAAGGTCAACTTTCAAAAATTAAAATCATAGAATTAGAATTTTTAGCAGACGTCATTTAGTCTTTTTATTTTGTTAAAAAAACAACAACTAATAATAAATAAATTTATATTTTATTTCATTATAATAGATGTTTTTAATCAAAAATGCCCATTTCACACTAGTAGTAAACACAAACTACAAAATAATCAAAATAATAAATAAAAATAAAAGATATGTAAAATTAACATGTTATGTGTCTGTTTTCTTGTGTATTTCAAGTGCAGCGATGTCTTTGGTTAAAAGCAAGTGCTTAAGCATTAGAAAAAGCGGTGATGTATTAAAGCGAAGGTGTAAAAAGTGGCAAGATTAATTTTTAAGACGTACCTCTCTTCTGTTGACTCCAAGTTGGACACTTTTTGACTCTTGGGTTTCCGTAGTTTGACAGCAGCAATTTCTTCTCTGTAAGTTGATGAGAACATGCAAGAAGGGAGAATAAATATTTAATCATAAAACCCTTGACTGCAAAAAAATTCCTCCCTCTGATTTTTTTAATATACAAAAAGTCAATGCAAGGTGAAAATTTGAAATCTTTAAAAAAAATTATCTCACTACTTTTTATAAAGTCTCCATTTTGCTTTAAGGAAAAAATTTAAGATTTCAAATTTTATTATAATATAATATAACTGTGAATTATGTAGTCATGTGTAAATACAAATCACCTTAAGTTGTTCTTTTAGAAACTATAAGTTAGATAATAATGTGTACAATAAAAATAGATGTGACAGAAATTGTGCATAATTTCATGCCTGAAACATGCAACCGTTAAAAAAAGTGTGCTTTCTTGTGAATGTCCATGCTTTGTTGTTCTTTTATTTGTTTCATATGTAATTTTTGTGTAGCATTTTTTTGTGATTTTATTTATTAATTTATTTTTTCTTTAACTGAAAGACTTACTTGAGATGCTGTTGGATTTCGTGGTAATTGACATAATGGCTAAATCGTGATGGATCAGTAATACCAACTCTACTTCCTGGTCGGTTCATCTGGACTGCATTATCCAAATCGCCATTTTCCAAGCGCTAAAACAAAAATCACAAGTTAACATCAGCATTATTGTGATATTTAAAAACAGCATACTTGTTTGATGTGATGTTCGTATCTTTCTTCGGTGTCTTCAAGTGGATAATGCCCCCTTCTTTCTTGATGCCGCCTTTGGTGCTCTAGCCGAAGCATGTTTATCCTTTCTGTCCTTGAAGGTTCATCCATCCTTGTACTATTGTATTTGTTTTCCGGCTCTTCTCGGACATGAGGAAGATGGTGGTCATGATTTTGATCTCTGTGTTGCTGCTGAAAATATGACAACTTTAAATCATCAATCAAATAGATTTATATTTAGAGGATTTAAACGTTTGCTTTGTTACATGATAAAAATACGTTGAAAAACCTACAACATGAACTAAGAATGTTAAATATAATATAACTGTTAAAACAGATATTCAAAAATTTAAAATTACTTTACATTAAAGTAACATTAAACTTACTTTAGGTTGATTTCTCTACTATCGATTCATTAAAGAACTATGATCGAGCATTTTTTCTCGAGATGCCCTGAGCCACATTTAGATCACACTATCTTTCAAAATTATTAACCCAAAGCATAGGATAGACTGTCAACTATTAAACGTTGAAAATCTACAACAGCTTGGTAATATTTTCATTACTGTCAAAGCGCATTGAAGCTACCATTATTTATTATCAATTAATTGATTATCTACTACTGTCTTTAGTAGTACATATTCTATTTTTTATTTGGTGCATTCCCTATTTTTTTTTCAGATCGAGAATCAATTTTTTCAATCATTGTTTGATTTTGATTTTATATAACTTATATTATTTTGTGTGTTAAATTTGGTGTTTTTAGAGGAGAAAGTTATTTCAGTTAACTACAATATGGTGATAAAATGTGGAAAAAATGGTGTTTGATTTAAGTTGTATTCTATTAATAACAATACTGTTAATTAGCATTAAATCATTAATGGAGCTATAATTTTTATGTAAAGTGGTTTTTATAAATCAATTTAAATCATTACTTTGGTTAAAAAGGACCAACTAAAAAACATATGGATTAAATTGTAAATTTTTTGTTTATTGTAAACAAGACTGCAACGAACTTATAAGTAGCAAACAAACAAAATTTTGATAAAAAATATTGGACGTGGAAAAATTATACAAGACCTTAATATTAATGATAAATAAAATATAGTTAAAGCAGTAACAGTTCTGAAGTTAAAGGAATAATTTATTTGGAAAAAAATAGTCACTTTACCCAACTTTTTTTTTTTTTTTACGAGGGTTCGCAACAGCAGAGGTCATATAAACCCTCAGGGTGCCGGTGTTTTTGAAAAAAAAAAAACCATTTGTAAGTCCATCGGGTTCGAATGCAGGGCTGCTGGATTCGAACCCGGGACCTTTACCTTTCAGTGATGAGCACCGTGTCAAAGACTAAACCTTGCGGCCACCGACGCCCCCTTTATCCAACTTTTAAAATTCATTTTTTTAATTAACATGAACTTGATACAAACATGAAGAAAAAATAGTACGAAAAAAAGTAGTATTAATGATAAATAAAAGATAGTAAAAGCAATTTTGACAGTTTCTTTGTAACTTTTAGAGGTAACTTTCTTTTTTTTCGATGTGCCCTCCCTGACTTTAGAGCATTGCCGGTGGAGAGCGTACTGCGCAGTGCGGAGTAAGAACTGCGCAGGTACAAGTTAAGAGATCGGGCCGATCCGTCGATCCGACGGTCGTAGTCAGAGGTTATCCCGACCTGCGTGTTTTCTGTTTATTTCACTTTTAATTATTCAAAATATAGTTTTTATGTAATTATGCTGTCAACAAAACTGTTCGGTTGCATTAAACTTAGCGGTTCGTCGCTGCCGAGGAGTTACGCGACGGTAGCCGTCCCGCTCACAACGTCGAAAAAGAAAAAATTGTCCAAAGGAGGAAGTATGATGGAGAAACGGATTCTGCCCGTGGAAACGGACGCAAAGAAGTTAACCAGCTTGCTCTGCGGTAGCAACATCCTCAAAGAAGGCCAGGACATCGAGCTAAAACCCGACTCAGAATACCCGGACTGGCTGTGGAAGCTCAACACCGGCAAACCGCCACCACTCGAGGAGATGGACCCAGAAACGAAAGAATACTGGTTTAAAGTGAGAAAAATGGCCATCGTCAAGCACAACAAACTGATGAAATTAAAACAGTTCTAAACTGAACACTGCTGCCTTATATTAGTTACGTGTAAATATTTTGTCAAATACATGTTTTATTTTGAATCTTTGTTGTTAGTTTTCTTCTAACCGATGATCCGATAAACCGCAGTGACCTCAGAGTCAGATAGGTACACGTATAGGTAAATTTCACTTAAGCACATTTACATCTTTTCTACAAAAACATGTCAAGTGACAGAAAATCGCCTTGACAGTTTACATACTGATGATGTTAACAGATACTAGGAGAAGCGGAGTTTGTGCTCCCCAGGCACTACAGCCTCTGGCTTGTACCTTCCTAGTTCCCTAGTTCAGTCCTTCTCAGAAGTCATTGACTGTCACTGCTATGATTTCATTCCCTAGGTCCCCCCATAGCCAATTCAAAGCACAGTTCATTAAATTCGTTACAAAAATTGTTCACAGTTCTCTGTGTTGATTTGGATTTTTTTTTTTTTTTTACGAGGGTTCGCAACAGCAGAGGTCATATAAACCCTCAGGGTGCCGGTGTTTTTGAAAAAAGCCCATTTGTAAGTATGTCGGGTTTGAAAGCAGGGCCCCTGGATTCGAACCCGGGACCTTTACCTTACAGTGATGAGCGCCGTGTCAAAGACTAAACCTTGTGGCCAGCGACGCCCCCTGGACAAAGCTTTATATGTTGTTTTTCTGTTGGTAGATTTTTAAGAGTAATTAATAATATATATTTTTAAGGGTAAGGGCAAAATTATATTTCTGTTAGTTTCATTGATTTTGTTGGCTAACCACGGTCTTAGTTTTATTTAATTTAGTTAGTTATTAAGAGAATATGTTACTGTAAGCCCATCTTAGCGATAAGTTTTAGTTGTTAAAATAAGAATAAAATAGGGTAAACGATGAAAGGGGACAAAGGTTGCAACTCCCCCAGACAGGAACGACATGACGTCCCCTTCAAATCTGTCAAACGTAGCTTGGAAATGGTTACCCAGGTAGACAGATAGATAAAAACATTGAAGTGTATGGCAGACCCAGGCTTGACCCACGTCTTGTTTCCAACGAACCTGGGGGACATAAAATAGCAATAGCTGGACAACCGATATGGCAAATAAATAACTATCGTCTAGTTATTTAACGCTGAAGGGTTGTCACACGGTCAAAAATCCATAGCCACGGGGACATCGTAAATCGGTCAACCCTGTGCTCGACACCGGTCTTCGCCGGCCCACCCGCGGCGTGGGAACTCCCCCGACTTTTGAGTTTCCTTTCCACCCCTACTCCGGGAGACCCGGTGTAGAAGGGATGACTGGGAAATCAAAAGTCAGTCCAAATCAAAGACTCACTCCAGGCAGTCAAAACCTGAGACTCACCCCCAGAGTCAAGACCAAGGACCGGGAGAGAAGCAGCCACACTCCATCTGGGATTCAACAAGAGGACTCAGCCAGCGAGGATCAGCCATTGCGATCAATCGAGCCAAGTCAACAGTCGAGAGAAAAGATGCTGTGGACACTGATCGTGGCGAGCATCGTTTGAGGTAAGTCCCTTTGTTGATAGACTCATCCCAGATTTAGTGTTGTGGCTGACTTGTAGATTAATTAAGATTCCGTGGTTTGGGAACCGTTAAGAGAAGGAATTGTGTACAATAAATGCTACTGAATATGCTCTCTGGTTTATTGAATTTTGGAACCTTACCTTCCCCCACACAAGAATAAGTAGCGACGCGCTTACGCCGACTAATCTCTTGTCGCTTAGAGAAAAGCAAGCGAATATTGAGAGATTATTCAACCACCATGCCCTCGTCCGCTTACATTACTTTTGTTTGGTAGTTGTAATAAAGGTTTATTTTGTCTGTTATGATTTGAGATAAATTTATTTTAATATTTTTTTAGTTTATTGAACAGAAAGCCAACCCTTCATGAGGTCTCCATGGGTTTAGGGTTAAGGTGATTATGTTCGTTTACTTCTATTCTCCTGCGCTGGGAGTTTTACTATTATTTTTTTATTCTAATGTTACAAGTGAAAATGAAAGGAAAATTTTTTTGCACTGGGGTGACCAGACGAGGGTGCCCTCGGCAAGGTTGAGCGAGACCTGGAAGATGCTGAAGACGCGCGGGTGGTATTTGGAAGCCGAAGGAGGCCCAGCCAGGGTTTAGCGGGGACATCGGTGAGGAGTGGAGCCCGGCCGGCCTGGACAAGGAGGCTTGAGCTTGATCAGGTCGGTGTGGACGAGTCAGATGAAAAAGAAGAATAAAAAGTATGTGATTGTTTTATTTAATTATTTTGGGACTTTTTCTCATCATTGTGGAGTGGAGAGTTCATGTGTGTGAGGGGAGAACTGCTCTGGAACGAGAAGGAAGACGTAGATGAGGTTCAAACTTTTAATTTATTTTATGAGAATGGTTTTCTGACCATTTTGTTTTTGTTTTCATTGTTGAAGAGGCTTGTTTTATGTTTATAATTAATTAATTTTTTTTATTCACAATACAGAGGACATTGATATTTTACTTTCTTGTGGGTTTTTTTTTTTTTCTGTTTTGTTATTTCACCCAGAGGTTTCACTGTCTCCCAAAAAGGAAAGAGAAATAAAAACAGTGTGGAGCCCGATTATTTTACTTTTAGAGATGAAGTGACCACGCAAAAAAAAATCTCTACTGAGCCCCAGGTATGTGGCAACCGGGTGAATTGTCACAATCCGAAGAGGAACCGGTAACACTAACATCTTTGTTTCCTTCCTTTTTATTTTAAATTAAAAAATAGAATGACTGGCACCGATCCTTTTCTATTTATTTGTCAATAACTGTAAGTCAATGGCACGAGCAGGATTCGAACCCACAATCTTCAGCTTGATACACCGCTGCTTTACCACTTGAATTATCGGGACCTCGATCCACTCAGACATCAACTTCCCTTCTCAACCACACCTTTTGAATTTTTAATTGTAATATATTAATTGGTCAAGCGGACCACGAAACTAGTGAATTCAACAGATATTTATTTTTTATTTCTTTCCCACACCCATCTCCACTGAGTGATGAACATATTTATCTCTACAATTTGGGCCGTAACAAGAGGAATTACTTTATTTACTTACTATTATTCTTTCCATTTCCAAGTTGGAGAAAAATTATAAAAAATGTTCTTACTTGTTGGTGGTGAAGTTGTTGCTGGTGTTGTTGTTGCTGCTGTTGTTGCTGTTGCTGTTGTTGAAATTCAGATTGTTTTTGCATAAGACGTTTGTACTGTTCTTGTATCCGTTGCTGTTCTTCCTTAGCGGCCTTTCTCGCCGCTTCTCTCTCATCTTCTAGCGTGGGAATTACAGACGTTCCTGTGTTTCCATTCGTATGAATTGAATCTTTCCTTCCTCGGCCAAACCTGTAATTTACATGTTTAATATTTTGCTTATTGCGTATAAATAAAGATAAAACATACCTAAACATCGAACCAATCCCCTTCAGTAGGCTTTGCCTTTTCTTGCCTTTGCTCGATTTGCTGTCCAGAGATGTGTTCAGTGGGCCCTGCCTGCCCAATGGGCTCTCTCCTTCATCTTCAGCCACTGAAAAATTGTATAGAAAATGTTAAAATCTTGACTGAAAATAATTTGGTTTGTTAATCTTACAAGGATCAAGTCTATCAACGGCGGCGCGAAAGCTTTCATTGCACCCTCTGCCCCTAACAATTCTCGTTCCAGACTGAGAGCTTCTGAAAGATCCTTCTTCGTTTTCACACATCTGCATCTATGAGCATAAAAATTATTACATTAATTAAACAATTATTACATTTAAAAAAATTTTACCTCTTGGACCATGGTTTGGAGTGATTCAAGACTCGAGGACTTCTTCATTCCCAATGAAGGCCCAAGTTGTACTTTGGCATCGTTGTTATCTACAAAATTAAAGCAATTATAACTAACACACACTTACTCTTAGATTATTCACATAATGGCAAAAATAAAATAAAACGAAAAAATAAAACGTGGATCATTCATGCAAATGTTAAACGTATTAATAGAATAGAAAAAATGACGTACTCTCAGATTTAGCTATGGACTCTGCAGAGTTGACCTTGATAAGCCCTGTGGAAGCAAACACATACAAAATTAAGGGTTAGTCCTCTAAAAACAAGTTAATGGACTAATTAATAAACAAAACACATTTACAAAAAAAAAAACAATCATTGTTTTTCATATCATGCACAAATTTCGTGCTATTACGTGAACATTACAATAAAATCAGACAAATACTGAGTAGAAAAAAATCATCATTTAAGTTTGGCATTAATTCAATAATTTATAATATGATTAAAACAAAATATATTATGCTTAATAACTGCAAACTTCAAGATTTGCATTCTATTATAAACTAGAGTATTTTGCATAATTTATGTCTATTTTTTGGCATTGTTTTCTGGGAATCAATTATTATATACATAAAACTTATATTAAGATTTATGTGTATAAAGAAAACAAATCCCAAAACAGGATTTATCAACAGGATTAAAAGTGATTATATTTCTGCTAACAGCAATTAAGAGCTAAAGTTGTTTTGTTTAATTTATCTTTTTCGCAAATATTGGCATTAACCAATTAGCTAAATTTTTAAACTAGATGACAGTAATATCAGATTTCACACAAAAATCCTACACAGGAGCTTAACAGTGTATTCTAAATCACAAAATACTAAAATATCAGGCAGTGTTCAATTTTTACAAGATGTACGGAACAAAAATATCATGCTATTTTTGATAGATGCTAGAATTGCAATTTAAACAATAATTAATTTTGTTAATGAACCATTAGTAAGTTAATTCAATAATTCAAAACTATTGAAAAATGAAAGAGAACATTTATACTCACTTCCTTCCCTTTTTGCGTTTTCCCTTTCTTCTCTCGCTTTCTTGTTCCTCTGGTAGGTATCGGTGTTTTTAGCATCTAGCGCAGCATGGCGTTTCTCGGACATACTCTGCCTTCCAAAAGCGTCTCTTGAAAATCCTCCACCTTCATCAAGTGAGAGCCTTAAAAAAAAAAAAAAAAAAAAAAATTAAAAATTAAATTTGCTTCAAATACTATTTTGGGGACTGCAGTATGTTAGACTCTTGTTGTTAGACCCCACAGTCTGTTCAATTCAACAATGGCCCCTGTCCTTTTTTCTTTAAATGAACAAATTGTACTCTAAATAATATATAAATCGTAGGGACATTAGGGGAAAAAAATTAATTTATAACTATTTTAATTAAACCGTAAAACTTACTGGCTGGCATATGTAATATCGTTGGTCTGAGAGCTGCTAGTGCTGTTTCTTTGTTGGGGCGGGATGATCTTGGCATCCACTTCACTTTTTGGCCTGAAGGAATCATAAAAATGCAAATATAAATTCTGAATTTACAATTTGTGAATTTGTATAAACTTACTGCTGACTAGTCGGTGTATATGGAGTATCATCGTCCTCAATTATTACAGCTTCTGTTGAAAGATTTCCGACAGTTGGGCTAATGAGTTTACCATTTCCCATCATTGATGTGTGATGTGTTGCCTACAAAATATAAAATTTATGTTTACACATTATTTACATGAATGAAAATAATTTATACAAATAATATTTTAAGACTCACTCTATAATAACTCTCATTTCTAAGAGGGTTCATTAGATGATTAAGAGAGTTTGGAGGTGCTGTTACCCTATTCCGCATACCATCAGTTTCTAAAAATTAAACAAATATTAATATATATTGTAGTTAAAATGTGTTAAAGATAAAATTATACCATTGCTCTTATAAGGAGGCATAAAAATGACAGTATTGTCAGAATTTTCACTATTCCCAGAATGTTCCCCATTTCCTGAGCTTTCGTCTATCTTTCCACCAGTTGTGAAGGTCTCTGTGTTAGCTGAAAATAATTCATTAAATAAATAAAGCATTTTACTTGTTAAATTGAAATAAACATACCAGAAGAATCAGTGAGTAAGCTCGAGATTGAATCACTCCTATGGGCCAATTTCCTGGCTATTGTTATAGAAATAGCACCGGGGACTGGACCATCCGTCCGAACCAAGGCCCTTTTCAGCGTCTCCATAGCAGCGTCATTAGACTGTCCCAAAAGACTGATACCGTTCACATACAAAAGCTGGTCGTTTGTCTTCAAACGTCCATCCCTGAAAAAAAATTATTGAGTTCATTGACATGTTTGACACAATATGAATTAATAATAATAAACAAATAATTTTTACGTAAAATACCTTGCTGCGGCAGTACCGGGTATAATATTTTTAATAAATATTCCCAAGCCAACAGTTGAGGTGCCGTTAATGTTGTTGTGTTTTGTTAAAAAGTTAGAATTTGCTGCAGCTGTTGACGAGGTTTTCCCCTTAACACTTACTCCTTACAAAAACAAAAAGATTAGTCAAAAAATTTGCCCAAATCTTTGCTATTAAAAATCTTTTAAAGTCTTACCTAATCCAGCTTTTTCTGATTCGTGAACAGGGATTTCCAATGTTATAATTTCCCTCTGCCTCCAAGGGTAAACGTTGTTTTCATCATTAGAATCATTCTTACTAGTCTAAAATACCCATTTGAATGAGTAAAGATGAAACTTTTTAAACATTTTGTACAAATTACATGATTTGATGAAGGATGGTCTTTCTCGGGTGTTTTGACGACAGGAGACGGAGTTGAGCCAGTTGTTTCAGGTGGGGTGTTCATTCCATCAAGGCTCATTGACGTGTTGGGGCTCGAAGGTCCTCCTTCGGAATGTCTCGACACAAGGAGGTTCACCGATGAACCAGGAGGAACGTTTCGTAAAAGTGCGACAACATCTGCTTGTGTCTTGCCGGAAAGATCGATACCGTCAACTGCCAGCAGTCTATCACCGGGCCTCAGTCTTCCATCTTCAACCGCAGCGCCCTGTTTATTATTACGTTACAATATAAATCTTTATACAACTACTGCATTATTATTTCAAGTTGGGTGTATGATATAAAAATGCACCTTAAACCCTCAGAAAATCGTGCTTTACCTTGCACATTAAATAAAATGTGTTCTATAAATAAAACCAGGTTTATTTAGTACAAATGTTATTTGAAAGTTAGTGTTACTACTTAAATTTTTGAAACGCAGGTTTAGACACATCTACACTTTATTTTAATTTTTAATGAATTTATCAAATTTTATGAATTTATTTTATCAGGATAATCAATTTAAAACTATATAAAGTGAATGTCATGTCAAGGGAAATAATTTTATGCCAAGCACCGTACATTTTGAAATCATCAACCAATAAAACGAATATAACTTCACATATAAACTTCAACAAAAATATATATTACATGTTATGAACATCAATAAAAACCAGTTTACATAGAATTTTGCACTTAGTCACATTGGCATATTTTCTGAAACAGGCAAGACGTTTCAGAAAATAATTGAACACAAAAAGCAGAAAAGCTGCTCAAACCCAAAGCGAGTGCTTTTTGTGCTGTAAAATGTTTTTAAAAAAAATGATACCGACATGTACCTTGGGGAGGATATTTTTGATATAGATCGGTGCATTTCCTCCCGCAGGATTGTCCCTGGTAGTAACGCTGAATCCCAGACCAAACTGCCCTTTTACCAAGCTGATCTCGACCTTCTTGCCCAACTTGCGCGTGTTTCCAGTCTGGAGGCTTGCCCCAGCAGCTGGGACTTTCCTCGTCATCGCTACTTTACTACCCATCACACCTTTAAAATAGAAAAAAATGTTTTAATAAATTTTCTCATCCGTTTCGGTAATTACCTTACTTCTTTCCTCTCCTTCGACCATATTGACCGGCTCTGCTCTTTCTTGTGTAATGTTCGGTTTTGGAAAGACTGGAGGTGGAGCCTGCTTCTTAGCAGGTGCTCCTTTACCTTTGACAACCCTCAATCGTAGCTCATGGCTCTTTAGAGAATCTCTAAATATTTCTTGAACACTAAAGAGAGAAAAATGTATAAAAATGCTAATTGTGCAAAATAAGATGGAACACATACACATTGAAAGGCTGTTGAACAAGGTTGTTTCCATTAATTTCAACAATCCTGTCATTAACGTTGAGCCTGCCATCTGCATCGACTCTCCCTCCGGGTTCAACCCCTTGAACTAGTAATCCCAATTCTCTCCCCATCGCATCATACTCAGGTACAACATGCAAACCGAGACTCCCGCCTCCAGTATCGAGTACAATATACTCGACAAATTCCCTATGTTTTATTGAAAACAATTGACTAAGGTGGGTAGAGTATTAAAATCAAAATTAATAATTGAGGAATTTGCGATTTACCTTCCTTCGTTTGGTTCGCTCTGCTGGTTGCTGTTAGCTTGGCCCAAAGGCTCACGCCTTTTGTGCTCCCTCGGTAGAGAAAGGGACTGCATGCGGTTGTGCAATTGAACTTTTTCAGCAGCGTCATACCATCGATGACCGCTGTAAACAAAATGACAATCAGCAACCGTCAAGGTGATATTTATTAATTAAACATACTTATCGCCGAAAAACTGCATGGACAGACGGTTAGAGCCATCTCTGGCAAAACTCGGTGGAGGCCTTAAAACAACAGATTCTTCCTCCTCTACATGGGTCCTCCATTTTTCATCATGGCCATTCATATGTTGATGAGCTCTTTCATCCTGTTAAGAAATTTTTAATTAATAACATAAAAATAAATTACAGAAAAAAGTGTTTTTCAAAGAATGTTACTCAAGTTTCTCGTTTAGTTCTCCTTTACCAAGTAGGATTAATAAATAAATACCAGTAAAGAGCAAATTTATTTTTGAGTAAAATAAATAAAGGCCCTTTTTCACGATTCTACTTTTGTTGATTAATTGCTATGACAACTTTCAGTTCAACCGAGTTAATGAACTTTGATCTAGTCAAACTTATGTTGTTCAAGTTTCAACTTCTGTTTAAGTCATTCCTTTCAAGTTGAAACATGAAGTGTGAACATCTCAGTTTCCTGTTCAACTTTTGCACTTTACATGTTTTTTAATTTTTTTTTTTAACCTCAAGTGGACTTAGCAATTATTATCTAAAAATTAAGATAAGGATGGCCTTACAAAAGCCAAAAGCTTGGCAATCTTACACTATATACCTCTTGTCGATAATCCACATAGTCGTCCAAAATAAGATGTTTACCTTTTGCCCTCCGATTACATATGTGGTCTTTGGCACAAAATTTATAACTATAATGAATCAATCTGCTAAAAATGATAAAGTTTCATTGTAAGCATTACTGCCTTTGGAATCACTGTCTTATATATACAAAAATACAGATTAGAGAGAAAATGCATCAGTTTACTCTCAAAGAAATGGAAATTATTAGATTCCCTATTGTGAAATTAATATTTTTGCCTATTGCTTACGCGCTATCTTTATTACAAAAGTTGCTGACATTTATAATTTATGAACCCTACAGCCTAATGATGATGCAACTTAGTGAGTATAAAAATAAAGATGTAAGAGAAAATGCGTTCTAACATTAAAAAAAAATGAAATTTCCAGATTTACTATTGCTGATTGGAAGAATAAAATGAAGATGGTTCAAACCAAATTTAAGAAAAAAACAATGGTTTGCATACCAAAAATTGATCAATTTTCAAGTTGTTTTCAAAGTTGAATTGTAAAAACGCACCCAAAAGAATTTTTTAAAGTAAAAATAAGCCACCTATTTAGAAAAAACGCAACACTGTACTTTTCGAAAGTATGATGAGCCGAGCCAAATAAGGAAAAAACAGTAGATAGTCATATAAAAATAATTTATGTGTAAATTATGACATTTAAAACGCTTAACTGTCAATTCACAAACAACAAAATAAGTTTAAAATTTTTCCAACTTATTCCTCATTCAAAATTCTCATTTCACCTAATGTTTGAACAAACAAATTTAGCAGAAAAAAATTAAAACATAGACAAAATATAGAGACTATTATAACAAAGATTATAGAATACGTTTAAAAAACAATTAAACCTATTTTAAGAGGTGTAATAAGAGTAATTTCTGTCAAAAGTGTAATGACCCCAGTCTAAATGGGACAAACATCAGATTATATATACAATATAATTAGTTTCAATTTACAATTCAATAAAACCAGCATATTTCCATATATTACTCAAATATCAATTCATGAAAAGTAAATTTAAAAAAATATCCAACCAAGTTTGTTTATGTAAATTCAAAATACACTAAGTGTCTTAAAGATTTACGTCCACCACATAATAAAGACTTTTCATCGGTTGACTGTTTAAATAGTTGCTTAATCCACATTAGGTCTTACAGGAGTGTGCACACCCAAGCCAGTTGGATAGTCTGCCAGATTTCCTTCCAACTGAACATTTGTCCAACTATAATCAGCCTCACTAGTTTTCGTGGTCGTCCAATTATAATCAGACTGTTTATTTTGTACGATGTACTATTGGTTGTTAGTGCCCAACCGAATCAGACTAGATATCAATAGATATACCATTTGATAGTTACCTATAATCATGGTCTGCCTATCCTCGCTTATTTTTGTCAATCAGACATGTTTTGGCATTTCGCGCACAATCTGGATCTCAGTATGGTCTGGATGAATACAACAAATTCAATTGTTATCAGCCAAGCTTTCGATCTATTTTAATGTCATATATCATGGGAAAACATCTTAAAAAGTCTACAAATTGTCCATTTATTAATAACTTAATTATGTCAATTTGTAGACATCTTTAAGATTGTTTTGCCCTGATGATGACCTGAAAATAGGTCGACAGCTTGGCAAATAACAAATGAATTTGTTTTATCATCCAGACCATACCAAGATCCAGATTATTCATGAGTAAAAAGTAGTCGATAAGTCTAACACTTTAAAACAGAAGTTGTGGCGATTTGCCATATTCAATGTTTTGGTTGTTTTCTGTGGAAACGCGTCTGACTGACACAAATCAGTGAAGATAGGCGCACCAAGATAATAGTTAATGATTATTTGGAGATCGTGAGATGTGGTCTGGTGTGATGTAGAAAAGAAAAACATTTTCTTTATCGTGCCAACGTTTCGATCTCTATTGAGATCTTCAGGGCCCGGGATTTATAAACATTGTTTACATTTAACAAATACATGTAAGATGTGACGGCACGATAAAGAAAATGTTTTCTAAATCCTACATCATACCAGACTCATCACACGATTTCAAAATAATCATTAACTTACAGTCACTAAACACCACATTAGTTAACTATGAAACTACAAGTTTGGTACTCCACAAAACACAGAAGAAAGTATCCACAAATTGTCATTCGATAATTTAGTCTGAAGTGTGCGATTCTCTTATAGTATACAAAGTTTTGGTTAAACAAAAAGTGTGTGTGTGTGTGTGTGCGCGCGCGCGCGCGTGCGTGTGTGTGTGTGGGCGATTGTTTATCAATTTAAGAGAAATTACACAGCAAAAAAATTGAATAATTGTAAATAATGATAGAAATTAAATAAAAATAAATAAATAAACCAAATAGTACAATAAATCTATTTTATTTTAACAAGTTTTAAACCAATTTTAAAAAGCATAATACCTTACTTTTAGAAAGTGTATTGCCCCAAGTCTAACTAGGGCAAGACAAATTACTGATTAGACATACAATTTATTATTATTCAATGTTTAGAGCTAATTTTTTTAAATTATTAAATATGTATATAGTTATTGAGATATCGTGAGATGCGGTCGGGTGTATATATAATATTTATATACTTACAACAATCATTTGTAAATCAAAAATCTTAGGCAAAGATGATCTTTTGATTACATGAATGTCAGATTATTAATTTTTTAAATGCAAACCCTCCTGTTATAATTTTGTTTAAACTTTTAACATTTGAATAAATAAATTTATTTAAAGCTTTAATTTATTTTAATAAAATTGTCCTCGTACCTTATATTTTTGAAAATTCCATTTTAGCATATTTGGGCTTTTCTGGAGGAAGAATTTTTTTCTATTTACGACGCTATGACGCTGTGTTGAGACCTTGGTCGCGAGTCGTAAAACAGGAGTCAGCAATTAAAAAAAACACACACACATTTGATAAACCGTTATCAAAAGAGAAGAGAGCCTCGTGAAAGCCGAATTCCGAGAGTTCTCGACGTCCAGGTATCGAAAAGGCGACTGTCACCCTGACGGACGGACCCAATTTTCTTGCTGATTCACACGCTCTTCTCCATGACAAATGGAGGTGTGGCACCTTTTTGTCGAATGACAGCAGAAAATCACTTGCAATTTACGCCATCCGAGCTATACTTGTCTAAGGTCGATCATTTCGCGATGATCGTAACTCGCACTATGATTTTATGTTAAACGACGACTTTACCCTCAATTTTTTTTTTTTTTTTTAATTAGGTCCCGAGTTAGTCCATGTTAGTCGGAATCAAAGTTTTCTTTCTTTACTAAAGTGTGTGGTGTTGAGTGACCGTTAGTCAATGATTATTCGGAGATCGTGAAATGCGGTCTGGTGTGACGTAGGTTTTACAAAAACAGTTTCTTTATCGTGCCAACGTTTCGATCTTTATTGAAGTCATCTTCAGTGCCTAGGATTTATAAACATTGTTTAAATTTTACAAATGCATGTAGGATGTGAAAAAATGAATTTATACAATGCTAAAAATTTTAGATTTAAAAAAAAATAAATAAAATGAATTTATACAATGCTAGAAAATTTTAGATTAAAAAATTAATTTATGCAATGCTAGAAGTTTTAGATTAAAAAAATAAATAAATAAATAAAATGAATTTATAAAATGCTGGAAAATTTTAGATTAAAAAAAATGAATTTATGCAATGCTAGAAAATTTTAGATTAAAAAAATGAATTTATACAATGCTAGAAAATTTTAGATTAAAAAAAATGAATTTATACAATGCTAGAAAATTTTAGATTAAAAAAATGAATTTATGCAATGCTAGAAAAAAAAAGAATTTTCTAGCATTGTATAAATTCATTTTTTTAATCTAAACTTTTCTAGCGTTGTATAAATTCATTTTTTCACATCCTACAAGTATTTGTAAAATTTAAACAATGTTTATAAATTCCAGAAGATGATCTCAATAAAGATCGAAACGTTGGCACGATAAAGAAAATGTTTTTCTAAAACCTACGTCACCAGACCGCATCTCACGATCTCCGAATGTTTATTATTAAACTTTTTTTCAAGCAAATATGAAAATGAACAATTATATTCTATAGGGTTCATCTATTTATTAATCATAGTATGATCATTAATCAATATAAAATCCGAATCATCCATTAAATTCCAATGAATGTTGTCTATTTTTCCTATTAGGTCCGATACAATTCATGAAATTTTAAAAATATAAAACGGTTTTAAATCAAATACGCGGCGTTTCCAATTGCGAAGAATGTGTTTGTTGTTGCAGATTGACATGGCTCACACACGGTTTGCATAACTTACGCCCCTTGTTTACGTTTTGAACAATTTTGTCAACAAAGTATTTTGAATGTTCTATCCGAGGTTCCTGTGGATGTATTCGCGGCGTAAAAAAAGAAAGGCGAACCACAATGTCATCTGGGGTCTTCCAGTGTCCTTGCGAGTTTCATCTTTAAGAATGGCCGCGGTCGTGTTTTTTTTTCTAAGTCATTGACGTCCGTTTTCTG